CCTGAGCCCATGGGTTCGAGAACAGCCTGGGCAACTTGGTGAGACCTCATCTCTACAATACAGAGAGGAAAAAAAAAATTAGCCAGTCATGGTAGTGCGCACCTGTAATTCTGTCTACTTGGAAGACTGAGGCGGAAGGATCGCTGGAGCCCAGGAGGTCAATGCTGAAGTGGCGATGAGCGTGCCACCACACTCCAGCCTGGGCCACAGAGTGAGACCCTGACTCAAGAAAAATTTCCACTATGAACATTCAAGGTTCTCTGTGTACTTAAGTTTTCATATGGTAACTATGTGTAACATTTTGAGGAATTGCCAAACTGTTTTCCACAGAGATTACACCATTTCACATTCTTACCAGCAATGTGTTTCAATTTCTCCATATTCTTGCCCACATTTATTTATGTACTTTTTATTGAGGCCACCCTGGTAGGTAGGAAGTGATGTCATCTTATGGTATTGATTTGCACTTCGCTAAAGGTTACTGATATAGAGCATCTTTTCTTGTGCTTATTGGCCATTTAGAGAAATGACTATTCATATCCTTCACCCATTTAAAAAACTGGGTTATCGTTTTATTATGGAGTTGTAAGAGTTCTTTATATAGAAATCCCTCACCAGATATATGATCTCCTTGGGTCAAGCAATGCTTTAGCCTTAGCCTCCCCTGCGTCACCACGTCCTGCTAATTTTTGTTACTTTTTAGGGAAGACAAATTCTCACTATGCTGCCCATGCTGGCTTAGCAGCATGATTTATAGTAGCCAAAAAAGCAAAAAACTGCCTAAATATCAACAAACTGATGGATAAATAAATGTAGTATATTCATACAAAAGAATATCAATTGGCAATAAAAAAGAACTAAGTACTGATGTCTGCTATAATATGGATGAACCTTGAGAACATTATGCTAAATGAAGTCAGTCACAAACGACTATATATTATGGAATTCTACTTATTTGAAATGTCTAGGACAGGCAAACCTATAGAGGCGGAACACAGAGTAGTGGTTGCTAGAGGCTGAGGCGGATGAAAGAAATGGGAAATGACTGCCAATGGGTACAATGTTTCTTTTGAGAGTAACGATTGTGATGTTGTTTCCACAACTCTAAAAAACCACCTCAACCTTAAACTGGTGAATTTTATAGTATGTCACTTACAGCTCAACAAAGCAATATATATATATAAATGTATATAAAAGATGTATACGGACGGAGAGTGGTAATGGGTGCACAATATACATGTACTTAATGCCACTTAACGTACACCCTTAAAAATGGTCAAAGTTATAACTTTTATGTCATACATATTTTACCACACTAAATAATGTTTAAAATGTTTCAATAAATTACTTGGGGACGTTTGAGTCTTATGCCTCAGTCTGGAGCGCTCTTCTGTTAAACGGCTTGTGACACATTATAAACAATCGTGTTACTATCTGAGCAGAGACTAACCGTTGGGAGTTTTGCAAGTCAACCGGCTGACCTTAAGAACAGTTAGGGCTCAGATGTCTCAGCGCGTGCCTTGTGCAGACGTTCTCTAAGGGCCCGCCCACCCGACATTCTTGCTTCACCGCAATAACGCGCTTTGTTCGTAACCGGGAACTCATGCACGATGTAGACGCTTCCTCGCGGGGAGCTGCACTGGGGCCGCACCACCCCGCGGCAGCGTGGGCGCGTCTGTGACCCGGATCTCCGCGCCTTCCGCTCTCAGGGCA